AGATCAGAGTCTTCTCGGAGTCCTGGGACAGTTGAGGGATGACAGGTGCGGTAGGTGTGGGAGGTGTGGGTGCCTTGATGAAGATGATCTTGTAGTGTTTCTGGGGTGGAGGAGGAGGAGCGATAGGTCTAGAGGAGATGATCTCTTGCTCTGGGGGAGGTACGTGGACGTAGATGTGTTTCTGGACTAGAGGAGCCTGAGGTGCGTAGCTGGACAGACCGAAGCTGCCGCCGCCGCCACCACCGCCTCCGCCGCTCACTCCGAAACCGCCTCCGAATCCACCTCCTAATCCACCTCCTAATCCGCCTCCGAATCCGCCTCCAAATCCACCCCCGCTTCCGCCTCCGCTGTATCCGCCACCGCTACCGCCTCCGCTGTATCCACCACCGCTACCGCCTCCGAAGCTTCCACCGAAGCTACCACCTCCGTGGCCACCGCCGCCGCCTCCGTGTCCACCCCCGAAGCTGCCACCGCCTCCTGATGGGGCACCGTAGCTGCCGGATGGCGGACTGTAGGAGTAACCTGCCTCAGGACGGGCAGAGGCTAATGCCGTCACTGCCGAGACGAGCTGCAACATAAGGTTATCATTAGAACATTGACAAGCATCATGAAATATACTCTGCAAACACAAATAGTTACATTTGAATAAAGTTTATCAGATATATTAGTAAAAACCTAAATAAAGAATTAGAGAGTATTAAAATTGGTGAGATGTAGTAGTTGTTGGCTCACAATGATGCATGAAACAGATTCTAGAGATGGCTGTTCTAAAATCTTCCAATTTTTTTACTGTGATTCCTAGCAAAATCTATTGGGATAATCAGCTTCACCGGCTTGCAATACACAGACATGCGAATCTCTGTCTCGACTTGATGAAAGTAGATGAGAGAAAGGCCTCATTGGCAAATTTGCGCGCGAATCTAATGACACGTATGTAAATGCAACAACGCCACTTACGCGGAGAAAGTAGTTGAGTATGATGCGGTCTGCAGTCATACCGCCTCGACCTTCTCAATACTGTAATCTAGAAGCGGCACGACTACACATTATGTGGGGGAATTACATGTCTAACACGTGTGAGCCTTTGCTGTCTTAGAAAAAATGTTGCTTGTGTGTTTATGTGCGGTTCTTACAGTTAATGTGGTAGTCTTATGTTAATGTGTGATTCTTGCAGTAGCCTCAACAAGCATAATAACCCAAGTGATACGTGTGGATTGATACTAGAAGAGCGTACATATACGTAAATAAGTGTTTTAATAGTTTTTTTTTTATTGTACAAGAAATTCATATTTTATAAATATCCTGTTTTAAATTTTTCATAAGGATCAAATTTAAACTTTTTGGCAAACCGGCTACACTAAATATGGCATGTTCTGTACTGTAATTGAATTATATACATTTAAAAATCTGCAAAACGTATCAAAGCTATCAGAGGCCTTAGATTCAGGGAATACTAATAGGCATACATTTTGTCATACCCTAATGCTTAAGATTGTTTCAATATACCTCAATCTATCAAAACATAGAACGCTCTTTTAGCAATGTGTATCTAAAGCTCAATCCTAAGACGGTAAACTGAAAAAATAACAATGATAAAACTAGAAGGCACAATGTAACTAATGTGAGGTATATTTTGTTCAGACCCATCGTAACTTAAATTTCCTAAAAAGCTAAACCCTCCAATGAAAAAACACACTCTCCATTTACAGACGGTCATTGCTTTACATACAAATTATCATCACAGTTGATGTAAAAGTGTACCAGTGTGCCGCTGATGATTAGAGCACTACAGCTAAGTGTCTGGCGGCTCGAGAGTGAATGATCCCGTAGTGTGTACTACGACCTTGCATTCATTCATCAAACGCCGGCGAGAGCAACTCCCGTTTGCAACAACACTTCTGTAAGTTCCTGACTTATCTCGTATCTTACCCAGCGTTTGAAAGTTTTAGAAAAATCCACAAAAATTTAATAATTTAACTTTATGATAATTTGTATTTAGAAATATGGATACGATTTTGTTTGCCGTTCAAATCATCAAAAGCGGTTTTAAAAGAACGAACTAAAGTGCAATTCGAAGAGTTAAAATAAAAAAAATCTATTTCTGCCGTCCCAAGAATCGAACACTCAAATCAAACAACTCCAAGTATATCCCACGAGATTGTATGACACAAAATTGCACGTAAAAACGAATTCAAATTTTAAAAAAACATGTTGAAAAAATATTAAAAAAGACAAATAACAAATTATTAGACTTTTTTTAAACTGCGTATTCACATTTAGTATCGAATGTTATAAAACCAACGCGCACTCTAATAATACTTTAATACTTTTCAATGAAATGGTGGCCATACAAAGTAGGTATTTTACGCCGAGTATGAATGGAGACGAGTTTAGGATGAGTACCCAAAAACAAATAAATGACCAATAAAACACAATAAAAAAACTAATGTACTACAAATACGTCAAAACACACACTTAAAAAATTCACATCGTCCTTAAAAAAATCACTGGATATTCGCGTCACTGACACCTTACACTGAAACACTCACCACAAATAATTTCATGGTGGTAATAATCCTTGCACTGTGGCCGAAGCACTGATGCTACCATGCTGGACTTTTCTCCTTTTAAACCCTCCTCTCTCCCAGTTGGTCTTCGCGGAGAAAGAGACGTCCCTCCCCCCCCCCACAGACCACACATTCACTTTTACACCGACACCCATTATTGTATAACTTGGAATTTTTTGTAAGTTTCGTTTTGTCAAAAAATTTGATTTTTCATAAGGTAAAAAGTTTTAGATTCCTCAACATCCTTAAAATAAGGTTTTTACTGTTTTTCTATTTTCTCGCTCCAATCCATTTAACCTATAACTAACCATTTAACTATTTAACCTATTTCAAATTATATTTATTTAAATGGTAATTCTAAAATTTTGTAAACATGTTACAGACATTGTTGTTTGTTTTTTATGAAGGTAAAGAACTTTTCCCTAGTTCTACTAAAGGGAATTTGTTGTGTTTTGTTGTTTTTCTGCATTGTAGTTTATTATGACAAAGCTTGTTTTATATTTTATTTAGATATGTAGAAAAATATTAAATTTATTGTTTTTGAAAGCTTTCATTAAAGAGCTGAATTTATTTGTGTGTTGTTTGTTATGGCATCAGCATATGACTTGTTTTTTTGTACGTATTTGTGTTTTATATTAGTTTATTGTTCCTCAATACTAAATAATAAAGTACCTAACTATCCATTCAAAATTTTTATTAGTTAATTTTTGTTTAAATAATGAAATTCACATTATTTGACGATTTTTGTTTGGGTAAACTATATTTCTTCAACAAATAAAGATATTTTAAAATTATATTGAATATTGTTATTGGTCTAGGATAGTACAAGGGAAACTAGGTCGGGGCTCCTATCTTAAATGGAGGAGATCGCGAATGTCCTTCAGATGGTCATTTGATACTTTACAGAGAGAATGCACGTAATTGTACGTTAGATCTTGAAATAGGATGGGTAGTATTTATAGTTTTAATTGGCGGGGTTACAGTTGATCAAGTCCATTTTTCATAGGGAATAATCAATTCAGAAACTTTCGAAACATGTACGTTTGTGTCAAAACATCTGTAAAAAAAAAACTTTTACATTTTAATGTTTACACTTTAAATTGTACAATAATATTTGGCAGGGGACCAGAAATATCCACGATCATTAGACATTATTTAAAAAATATATTAGGCCATAAGGCATTTAAATGGTTCTTTAAAAACAATGACTTGTTTTAATCTGAGTTTCTGGAAAATTATAACCTAAAAATGTGTTTATTTATAGGTCGAGACCAGACGTTTCCTGCATTAATTATTCTACTTATCTCTAAAAATGGTTAGAAAAGCTACTTAGGTTTGAATTATTCCCCTCATTCTCCATTAAACACAGATATAAGTTTATAAATGAAGTTAAAGATTTGAACCTACAAAGAGATGAATAATTAAATAGTCTTATTTGATGCCGTAGCCCTTTGTCCGAGTGTCCCATTGATAAATTTGTAATTTTAATTTTTTCCCTCAAAATGAAAAAAAGAAAATTTGTATGACATAATAATGCAAGAGTAATGATTATTGTCAGATTTTTAAAGTTGTATAGAAATAATTGAATCAAACTTGCACTTGTTATGGCGATGATGCTTAACTATTGCTAAGGACAACAAATTAAACGTTAATCGTATATTTTGTATTACCTAATTAAAGTGTAATTAGTTTTAATAATTATTACTAAATATTAAATAATAAAATAATAATCTCCACATATTTCCTAATACTTTATAAAATAGACCTCCCCATAATATTTTATGGAAGTGTTACGGAACTTATATAATTTATTAGTATTGTTAAAATATTACAATTATTGGAAATATAAAAAAAACTTTAATATAGAAAAATATGTTTTAAATGACGTGGCATCGAGATGGTAGAATATCAACTTATAATCATACAAAATTAACGAAAGTGTCAATTATATCCTCAAAGACCGTACTACCGTTACACACATTTTCAATCTAAAGCTAAAGAGTAACCAACGGGTTTAAATAATTCTGAATAGGCACACCATCAAGTGTTAAAACCTTAGAAAAATTTTCTTTCTGCATGTTTCCAAACAGATGTAAGGATTACAATTTGGTCGTTGAATTTGTTTTACGAAAATATTCGTTGTTACGAACATATTTTCTCATTTGCTCTTGACACGTTGAATCACGAATCCATATACTCCTCTTCATATAAAATAATAATATTAATATTATCAATTAAAATGTGACACCACCTATTTAAACAATTATTTTAAAATTATTTTAAACCAAATATGTTGAAGGATGAGTGTAGAACATCGATCTCTATTATTGCTGTAGTAATAATAGAGATAGATAGTGTAGAATGGAGTGTGATGTCTTGTGTTACTGACTAAGATCAGCTGTTTCAGAAGCCAGGACCATCATTAATGATCAAATGATCAAGGACAGGTAGGTTCTACGGTGTCATTTCGTTTATTTGGTTATTAAAATATCATTGTGTATATGAAAATAAAATGGCTTCTATTTAATTAAGGCTGAATCCTACTCAAGTTATACAGTTCTGTGCTATAAATTATTCCATTTATACTAGTTTGTTCGACCTTATGAGTAACATTTCCCCAGGACGCGAATATTTAGGACGTTCCTAAAACGCCGTCCACAGGACAGAAATGACAGTGTCCCCAAGACACCATCAGGGTATACAAAACTATGCATCATCAAAACGCCATATGCAAGTTACCGTGTAGTCAAGACACTCTATAGACTTCTGCGTCCCCCTAAACACAGTATATCCCCTAAAACACCCTGTAACCCTCCACAAAAAACCCCCGTCTATACCTCAAAACACCCCGTATCCACCCAAAACACCCTGTATCCCCCAAAGACCCCCATACACCCCCAAAACACCTCATATCCCCCAAAACCCATCGTCACCCCCCCCCCCCAAACACCTTGTATCCGCCAAAGCACCCTGTATCCCCAAAAACACCCCTGAACCCACAAAACACCTTGTATCCCCCCAAAACACCCTGTATCCCCCAAAACACCCCGTATCCCCCAAAACACCCAGTATCCCCCAAAACACCCCGTATCCCCCAAAACACCCCGTATCCCCCAAAACACCCCGTATCCCCCAAAACACCCCGTATTCCCCCAAAACATACCTGAACCCACAAAATACCCAGTATCCCTTAAACCCCCCTTCTCCCCAAAAACACCCCGTATTCCCCGAAAACACCGTGTCACCAGGGCATCGTATCCCCAAGTTTCCGTGTCTTCACGAAGCGACAGTTTCCCCAGCCCCACTGACCCGCTGGGTAATGATCCGTGGCTAACGTCCATGTTGTTGTCCGTGATTATCTTATCAAAGACCGTCGTCATGGCTACGGATTTTATGTGCTATGGACATTAGTTATGTAAACCGTGCATTATGATGAGCCATGGATCGTCAATCTGGGCCAGATGCAACAATACAAGACAAACAACAGACAAACCAGAGAGGTTTAACGTAATTGTTGACAGAATTTTTGGATTCGAATTTATTTTCCATTTATATTATATCCAAGATTATTATTAAAGTGTAATATAATGTGTTTGTAAAGATATGTTAAAATACTGTCGAGTTATTTTTTTTACATGTGGGGTGATTGAAATGTCAAATTGATATGTATAATACGTTTTGTTACTTTCTACATTTATCCTACCTTGTACGTACATACGTACAATACATGGGTAAATAAAATGCATTATGAGTTGGAAGATTTTTAAATCGTTTGTAGTGGAAAACTAAAACCAAAATGAAGATGCAAAAATACCGCCACTTTCGAAGTTCTCTAGAATTTAAACCCTTTGGCCCCAACGTAATAACAGACCAATTTAGCTATTAAATCGCCCTCGGCAAGAAAATCTAGATTACGAGGTTTCATCAAGTTAGAGCCAATTAAAATGCATCATGTTATTAAATCCAAAAGAAAGCTATGGATAGCATCGGAGCAACAGAGCAATTTCTATTAAATATCTTAATAAAAATCCAGTTAAATGTAAAATCCTAAAAAGTTTGAAAATTTTTAATCACATTTTGTAAAAAACATTACAATTATTGTAAGACATAAATCATATTTTAATTATGCAAAAACCGGTGATAAGATTTCAAAATGTAATAGAATATTGAAATAGAGTATTGATTACAGTACACAGCGTTTCTATGATTAATAGTAGTTGATTTATTTTATACTCTTCTTAATAATAAAAAACATATTTGAAAATCTGGTTTTACTTTTAACTACGTCATTTGAAAAAACAGTCAGTAGAGGTCCTGTTTTCGTACATTATACAGTAGTAAGTTAGGACAAAATACATGGGGGGCCAAGATTTAGTTTGGTAATACATATAATATATTTGATTCTTATGTAGAACGACCCTGTTTTTAATCTTTGCAATATAAGTGCCTGCCGACAACTTTTAAACTCATTTACATGATTTTCCAAATCCCGGTTTATTGTTAAAAATGTTTTTGGATTCACATAATTTTCTACGACACATTTACATGAAACAACAATAATGATGCTGATTTTTCCCTACGCAATTCAGTATGTGTTGCAATTGCATACTTATATTGCTTTAAATTATTATAAAAAATATACATATCTTTATTTCCTTTAGGCTTTGATTTAGTATTTTAATAGGTTGCTCAAAACGTCGTCGAAAACTTAGTATTTAGGTAGCTAAGTAAATGTAGTCCTAGCATACAAATCAGTGATTGTAGGCTTGATCCTAAACAAAAATAAGTACCTAAAATCAGTAAGTACCTTTTTGAATATTAAAATTTGGCCCAATCTGTCAGTAATAACTGAGTTCAAACCAAACAAACCACATAATAACAAATCGAGAAGCAGAAAAATCTGATTTTAGCCTAAATTACTTTAAGTTGCTTTATAACCATACATCATACCCATAGTATGTAGTAGTTGCGTCACCACCTCAGATAGTAATGCAATAGTAATATAACAGGATCATCTGACTCGTAATATTAGATAACTACTACATTACTTTCCCAGCTAGTTGATAAATCATGTTAACCATACCAGACGTTTTACTGTGTGATTAAATGAATCGATTTTCCAAAACTTGTCTTCATATTGGCTATTAATAATCCATTAAAGCTTCCTTATTAACAAATTATAAGAAAAACTCTATCATTGAAAACTCTTGAAAAAGATTGATGGTTAGCATAATAATTTCTGCTACAGTATAATGTTATTTTGATTGATGGTTAGGTTTATAGGCTGAACATAAACAAGCTATTCTACAACTATGCGTTCATTTATTCAATCGTTTTTAACTTTTTTGGCAGCTGACAACACCACTTTAGTTGGAGTTTTAATATTTTACCTCGTTCCTGAAGTTGTTTTGATTGATATTGTTATTGTTAAAATTTGTCTTGATTCGTTACTGGAATTGATTCTCATACCTCAATGTTTTATTTCTTTTACACTAAATATTACATAGAATACTCAAATTCTTATAACACGTCAGAACATTATTTTTATTTTTCAAAGTTGTATCACTGGGCTTGAAGTTCTCAGCATTATTTCCATATAATAATTCATTTTAGGATTCCGATCTTGTGAGAAAAATAGTTGCCACCCTGCTGTTGAAGACGTCATTTCAGTATTTATACATATAAAATACACCAGAACCATCATAAAACTACGCTTTCAAAAAGTAAAAACCTGGGATTTTACCCTACATGCTGTATAGCGCTGAAAATTCCATTCTTAAAATATAAATACATTACGAGTAAATAAAAAATCCTAACTTTTCACGGAAAAGTATATTTGAATACTTATAATATAAGTAAATAGTTTCATGGTGAAATATAAATTTAAGTGAATAATTATGAACATTTGTATTACACATGTGTATTTAGCTAGTTAGCCCTACACCTAAACGATCAGATAGTAGCTGCAAGTTGATAGACTCATACACAATGACAAATGACTCTCACAGCTGTAGTGACCCCTGCCACCAACAATGGAAGATTCATCAGCCCAGGATGGCAGTGGACCTATGTAGTGTCATGTTCACTGCTCATCATTAATGTACAGCCACGGCTAGAGAGAGGCACTAGGCAGATCTCTCGTTGTATAACAGGTCACACCGCGCCGCCGCTAGCTATTCAGATATATCTTTCATATTCCGCCGAAGCGAAATTTGCCTGCATAATTTACTAATTCTTATCGATTGAATTCAGTGATTCTTGACTGATTCACTAATGGATGAAGGTTCCGGTTTCAGCTGTGATTTTGGATACTGTAAGTAGATTTATGTTATATGTATTTATTTATGTGTTTTGTGCCCAATTACGAGTGCGATGATTTCGGTGATGTGTTTTCTGATGAATGCGATTCATTAACTAGTACTTCATTTAACCGTATAGTGACAAAATGTATAACATAACACTTAACATACTAATACCTGCAAAGAGTTTGAAGTAGTACAAAACATTTATTCATCTGAAAATATACTTATCTCAGAAATCCCAGGGTTTCGTATTTGTTTGGAAAATAAAGTACGTACTTTTCCTGGTATTCCAGCAGAAATGCCAACAATATTACAACAAGAAATGTCATGAATATTTTTATCCAATTCTAAAAAGAGATTTTACCTTTACCGACGTAAGTTGAGACCTTTGGAAAACAATAGAAGCAAATGGAAATATGAGAAAACTGTATTATAACAGATCTACTGATTCAGTTTTGTTTACATAGATTTTTACTTATATTTGTAAAATTAACACTATGTGCAGTCCTATAATAGTCGACATCATTATTGTACTTCAGTCCAACCAGCCGTTGAAGTCTCTACTCAAAACTAAAATAAAGGGTCTGCGGTTTGAATTGTTACCACTAAAAATCTAAGAGCTTCAATGGTTTCAAGTAAACGTTCTTTAGAACATCATAAAGCATCATAAGTCTAGATTTGTATTACTACTTTTACTTTTAAAAATAAAAAAATGTTCAATACTACAAAAGAAACGTATTTCACAGTCTTAACCATTCTTCGTATTACATGTTAACCAATACTACAAAGCCAGTAAAATAGGAAAGTTATGCAAATTCTAGCCTATAATTTCCTTACTCTTTCCTGGGTAACGTTACAAAGAAGTCTACACATTAGAATCTCCACTTAAGCGGACCGCCTACGTCCGACTCACTTGCCCAAATACAGAGCCAGTGGGCAATAAGATGACTCGCTTGCCCAACACTGACCAGTCATTCATGCTTTGCCCAACCGCTAGCCTGTGTTTAGCCTACTTCCTGTATTCATCTTTCCTTCACAGTTATATCACAATGTTACGACGAGCCGATCGACCGATTCTCTCAATTAAGTCTCAATTCCATCAAAATGAGATAATGCTAATAATTCCCAAAATTGCATCGATGCTGATTTCACCCCTTTCACTCGCAGAACAGTTCGTGAGTTCGCACCAAGAATAATGGAACACTCTGGTACTTCTAAAATAATCGTGGGTTTCCTTGCATTGATTATAGCAAAGTAGCTAATTGCTGCATTTACTTACTTTTCCCACACTCATTTTTGCTGCACTCCAGTATTCCAACCGAACAACACAAAACAGTGTGCAGTATTAGGCACGTAATGCTTGTACGATTGAAAATATGTTGGCAACACTTAAATATACTACAACTACGATCAGCTAGTGCAGCGTTTCCCATTTCGTTCAACGCTTGGATTTTACCTAACTTAAAAACGTGTTGTATAAGAATAAGAATCTTTATTACCCTTTAAACATTTTACAGTGCAATAGGGTTCGTCATTTGCTACATAATATTAAAATTTAATTAAATGTTTCACATGAAATAGTAACAAAAATAATTTTATCAAATAAGTTAAGACAAGCTGGCCTGGTATAGCGTTTGAAAGACTAATATTTTATATGCTTTATTGGAACTGTAGGAAAAATACCATGTGTTCGAGAGCGCAAAGTGCCTTTGCTGCCCTCGAGAAACTTTCCACACTTGCGTACGGCTAGTGCGTAAATTCTCTTATGTGCAGCAAAGTGCCATGTCGCACACTAGTTACACAAATAACTATTTCCCTCAAAGACTTAGATCGTAATCTTAAGTCAATATAATTTAAAAAGTTATTGAATAAGGAATGGAATATTTAAAAATTTCAAAACTATAAAATCACAGTTGTGGTTTATTTTCCACATACAGTTCCGCAACTATTGCAGTAGCCTATTACATTTAGTATCAGGAGAACACACACGGTTTGAAATTACAGCCTCAACTAACTAATGCCCAACCGCGCA